CACACACACACACACACACACACACACACACACACACACACACACACACACACACACACACACACACACACACACACACACACACACACACACACACACACACACACACACACACACACACACACACACACACACACACACACACACACACACACACACACACACACACACACACACACACACACACACACACACACACACACACACACACACACACACACACACACACACACACACACACACACACACACACACACACACACACACACACACACACACACACACACACACACACACACACACACACACACACACACACACACACACACACACACACACACACACACACACACACACACACACACACACACTCTAAATGCTGACAAAGCTAAAATAGAAAACGACATCAAGATAGCAAAATAGGTGACAAACTATTTATTGATAACAGAAACTCAAAGAAGGGAAGGGGAAGTAAAGGGGAAACTAGAAAGTGAAGAAAGAGAAAGGGGGAAATAACAGGAGAGTAAGTGATGTGAGAATAAGTGAATAGAACATCAGGTATATAGTCAATAGCTATGTTAAATCATAATGTTAGTTTAAAAAATGAAGCATCACACACCTGTGTAAAACATATATTAGTTAGGTGAGAAAGGGAAGAGCTTGGGTTGACTAAATACATCACGAAACTACTTTACTACGCTTTCATGACGATACCCTTGCTGACATCACCGTCTGCTGACACCACCGCCTGTTCACATCACCCTTGGTGACACCATCCCTGTTCACATCACCCCTGCTAACGCATCTCTACTGATATCATTCCTGCTGACACCACCGCCTGATGACACCACCCCTACTGACCTCACCGCTACTAAAACCATCCCCTCCAAATTTCTACAGTGCAACATGAACAACCTATACTCTCCACGTTCGCCCGGACCTGTCAAACACTCGGGCTAGTCATCTCACACACTAAAATCAAGTTCATCTCACACTTCCGGCGTCAGACTCCGCTGAGTCTGCAAGGACAAGACATCGATCAAGTAAGCACCTACAGGTACCTTGGTCTACCCGTGCGTGCCACTACCAGCGCCACCACCTCAGCTGTCGCCGCCCACGTCATCTCCCAGTGCCGTCAACGAACGAGGCCCCTCCAGTCCCTTACCCAAGGCCTCAAAGGAGCCTCTGTCAGGGTCCTACGCCTCATGTATATTGCTATCGTCAGAGCTGTCATAGATTATGCCTCCCCTGTCCTTGTAGTTGCCTCCCAACGTGAGAAACAAAGCATAGAGAAAATCCAAAACAGAGCGATGAGACTCATCCTCGGCTGCCCTATGACCACCAGAATAGAAGTCATGCAGCGTGAACTGATCCTGCTTCCAGTCTGCGATCGAATTACTGCTCTCAATGCCATCCTAGGTGTTAAACTCCTTCGCAGTGAGAAACCGACTCCCCTGTTTCGCTCACTGAACTCACATCTTGACTCCCTCCTGCGCCGGCCTGCCCCCACTACCTCTCCCTCCCTCTCTCAACACTGGCCCATCCACACTGCTGCTGACATCCTGCGTTATCACCTCTACACCCCCTGGACCACTCTCCCTCCCGAGTACACTCATCCACCTCTACCGCCGTGGACTTCCCCGTGTGTTGATATTGTCGTCCACACCTTCCCTGGTCGTAAATCCACCCAACTGAGGTATATGCTCAAACTTAACTGCCTTGAGCAGATTGATGATGTCGCCTCTTCTCTTACGACCTCCCTCCATCCTATCCTCGTCTACTGTGATGGGTCTGTCACCACGCTGGGCTGTGCTGGGGCATCTGTATGGATTCCTGAGCGCCAGGCCCGCAAGAAAATCAGGGTCCACGACTGGGCCTCCTCCACTGACACTGAAAGCATAGCCATCCTCGCGGGCATTCATGAGGGGGCGATCTATGCTCGCACTGAATGCCGGAACCACCTGATAATCAGTGACAGCACTTCTGCGCTAGCGAGGCTCAAATTACCCTCCCCCTCCTCCCCTGCCGCCCAAAACACCCTAGCCGCCGTCGCCAGGCTAGAACAAACTGATGACATCCGTGTCAAGTTTATTTGGATCCCGTCACATATAGGAATAACTGCCTGTGACACTGTTGAGCGACTTGCCAAAGAAGCGACACAAAAAGAAGATATTGAAGCCACCCTCGCCCTCTCCCTGAATCATCTCAAATCTCGCATACACGCCACACAACGAGAAGCATTCGACGTAAAATGGACACACCTGAAACAACGGGACAGCGTCACACTATGCCACTATGACGCTGTAACCGGTGACTCCAACCGCCACTACAAAGAGTATCAATCTCTGACTCGATCTCAACAGCTTATATACATGAGACTGCGCCTGGGGTACAGGTACCTATGGGAGTACATTGGCAACCCTGAGCCTGGCCGCACTGTTTGTAAACTTTGTGGCCAACCCGACTCTCACACCCTCCGTCACTACATCCTCACTTGCCCTATGACCTCCTCCTACAGGTCCCCAGCCGTTACCAACACCTCTTCCCTCCCTGACCAGATATCCCTCCTCCTAGTCACTGGCCTGGCACTTGACATTATTAGGGACCTGCCACGCTTTGCTATAAACAGATGAAATGTACCGGGAATTTTCCCCCCTACACACTCATCATTCTGTCACTTTATGTAACTTGCTGACAAAACCCATGACCCTTCAGGCTTCCACGCCCTTAATGCATGAGTCATAAAGGCAAGCATGAACTCGCATGCTTCCCAGTTGGGCACTGTAAACGCTTCCGCGCTTCACCTTGCACAGGATGTAAGGGGGTGCCCAATAAACTAGCCCCCTCCGGGGCAATCTGTAATCTGGCATCACCGTCTGCTGGCAACCCCGCCTGTTGACACCATCCCTGATGACCCCTGCTGACACCATCCTTGCTGACACCAACGCCTGTTAATACCACCCCGAATGACGCCATCCCTGCTGACACCATTCTTGCTTACATTACCCTTGCTGACGCCATCTCTACTGATATCATCCCTGCTGGCATCACCCTTGCTGACACCATCTCTATTGTCATCATATCATAATCCCTGTTGACAACACCGTCTGTTGACACCACATCTGTTAAAACCAGTCCCTCTCACGACACCCCCTCCTCACACCACCACCCTCTCACGCCCCACATACCCCAGTCCCTCGGTCAAACTGTTGTGGATCCCCTCTCACATAGGCCTCATAAAACATGACAGAGTTGATGCCCTCGCCAAACTCGCGTCTAACAAAGACACCGTTGAATACAATTTCGGTCTGTCAAAAAGAACCCTTAAAGCTGTAATTAGGAAAGAACTTATTGATGAGTTTGACGCAAGTAGACTAGTGCAAACAGGCACTAGTCGATCCATAGTTTACCATGATGAGATGTATCAAGTGAAACATGTATATGGAGCAAGTAACAAGATCACTAGATTACAAGATGTTGTAACCGCTAGATTAAGGTTAGGATATAAGTACCTCTGGCAGTATGTTCCTCAAGCAGATGTAAACAAGACTAAATGTAAAGTGTGTGGCCAGACATATGGCCACACACTTGAACACTACGTCCTCGACTGTGTGAAGATAGAACCTTTTAGGGACAGGTCCAAGCGCACTGTGTGTGAAATGGCACAACACTTCATCTCTAATGGCAAGATAGCCGATATATTAAGATTGTATCCACTTTTTTGCACTTAGTAACTATATCAGTTCTCATGTATAGAACCAAATACACAATGTGCTTGAGTACTTCTCACGTAAATGAGAATAACAAAGTGTGAGGCCAGACATACTGCCTCACACGCCTGTACTCACGCATTTGTGAATAAGTTACCCTTTATGTATAGAACTAAACAAATAATGTAATTGAAATACTGTGTAACATTCAGTGCCATAATATCCTGACAACGGGGGTTATTATGACCCTTTGTAAACTCTACTCTGTAATCCTTTTGCGCTACCGCTCACAGGATAAGTGTGGGGTGCACAATAAAGTAGCCGCTGTAAGAGGCAAAATCAAAATCATCGTATATGAATATTTTATCAACAACTGAGTCTCACTAAACACATCCCACAAATCAATAACTCATTAGTAGGAGCCATAAACGTACACACACCCATCATTACTTTCTATCTACCTTTAGCGTCGGCATTAATTTACTTTATTCTGTTCTGTAGAAATTCATCTAAGACAGTAATAAAAAATACATGAAAAAACAATGAATCCTCGGACTTAAGCATTGACGGTATCTTTCGTGCGGTGTAAATTATTACTAGAACTGTCTTGGTCGCGTTAAGTGTTTCCTGATATCATGTGACTATAGTTAAGTATCCCAGGTTACATCGATTCTCTTCTACGACTTGAAGTTCTAATTCTCCAGGACCTTGTACGTTAATATTCGATCCCTTTCCTGGTAATAATTGAACGCATGTTGTTAATGCAGTCGAGTCTCAGAATTAATTTGAGTCCATTTTGGATGTATTTTATTGTGTATTTTTACCTTTATCAAGCCAGGTACAACCTTCATTACATCCGGTAGAGTCTCATTCTAAGAAACTCTGAAATTCCAAAATTCTCTTCAGGAATTTTGGGACTGAGAAACACTTTAATTTCGTGCATATAAAATAAGAGTCAAACTTAATGGATTATTTCTATGTTTTGTTAGAGTACAGTTGGTATCACTAGAGTACAGTTGGTGTCACAAGACTACACCTGGTGTCACTAGAGTACAGATGTGTCACTAGAGTATAGCTGGTGTCACTAGAGTACAGCTGGTATCACTAGAGTACAACTAGCGTCACTAAAGTACTGTACAACTAGCCTCATAAGATTGCGCCTAACGTCATTGCAGTACAGCTGGCGTTACCACAGCGGCGTAAATAGTTACAGAAGCTTCAGGGGGGAGGGGGGTAATAGACATTTGTTAGGAGCAGTACCTGCGCGCGTGAGGCAGACGGCCACCAACCTCCAGTGACAGCGGAGGTGGTTCTCTTATGGTTAAGGCAGCTGGTTGGTGCAGTTGGCAACATGGCCCTACGTACAGAGGTTCCCAGTTGGCTCCCACTACTCCTCTTATGTAAGTATATGTATATAAACCATCTGCTATATTCTATAGCCCTCGAGTATGTCAGTGTACACACAGTTGTATTTTGTATAAGTTAGTTATACGTCACCTGTAATGTATATAATAGGCCAATTAACCATCTGTATCATGATAGCATTGTTGAGTACAGAACAGAATTCTTTGGACATGTATGCCAGCTGGAATCAGATGGTGAAGGACACAGCTGTCACGTGATCTGGCTTGCAGCTGGTCCCTACAGTATAAAGAATATTAACAACCAGGGAAATAGCACAGTAACTTCACCACCTGGTAATACAGCAGGTGCTTTATAACAGTCGATACAGCCCCCTAAGGTACAGCACAGCGTTGCATTTAAATTGCATTGTAGCAATGCAAGTCCTAAAACTGGATTACTAGATGTACTGAAGTTAAAGTATCATGGCACAAAGTAATTAGAACGTGTTATAGGTGTGGTGTACACCTGTATTATGGTATAGTTTTACAAAACCTGAATTATAGGATAAGTTCATAAGACCTATATAATTAGACTTCTTGTACATACCTAAATTATTAGACTGAGTAATTAAATACCCTAACCTAACCTAACCAAACCTAGACTAACCTAACCTAACCTAACCTAAACTAAACTAACCTAACCTAACCTAACCTTACCTCCTATTTACTGTTTGGGTGTTTAATAGTTAGGTCAAATAAACGGGATTCGTATTCTTCATGATATCCAATTATTAATCCGAAACTATTGACAAACTTACAGTAAAATATTTAAATTATCAAGCAACATTCCGCGGCATGAATTATTACACAGGTTCATAATAAAAAAAAATAATGTATCTAAATTATGATGCAGGAGTACAGTGTCTAGCATATAGTGCCAGCTAATTAGGCTAAGTTACCTAACGGCCATGACGCGGAGGAGGAGGCCGATGGTCCTACCTTTTTAACTTATTTACCTAATGGCCACCCATTGGAGGTGGCTGTGTTGAGGGAAAAAAGGCCAGTGGTGTGTGTAGAAAGGATCCTGCCATTGTTCTTAAAAATTGTGTGCTGACCTGCCAGAGGGAGGGTCACAGCCGATTTAGCTCTTGGGGATTAACTATTAGTGCAATTGCTGTTGTTAGTAGTGAGCAGCTCTGTGCCTCTTTGAAGGCCGAAAACTTAAAAGTTAATGGAAGTAATTACGAGGATGAAAGAGGAAGATACGGGACAGGGAGAGTCTGTGTCTGACGACAACATAGAGGAACGATCAAATTGGCGGTGAAAAAAGACAAAAAGGAAACGATAGCAGTTAAGTGTACTAAACTTTTTAGTCCTTAGGTAGACGAATTGGATGGTAACAAAGTCTGGGACAGAGTTGACAAGGAAGGTACGAAAACTTTAATTGTTGGTAATTCCCAGGTACGGTACCTGGATAGAACTGTTCTTGTCAAAAATAGAAATAGGATGAGCCTGTTTGCCAAGAGCTGGGGTGGGGGATATAGTTGACAGGATGGACAATATCATGTCTGGCAATGGGAATAAACCCATTATCTGCCTCAGTGCAGGAGGCAATGATATTGGCCGGTGTAAGAGTGACGAGCTTCTTGATAAGTTCAAGGCAGCTATCGAACGTATAAGGATGAAGGGAGTGTGATCCCTATCATATGTGGTGTCCTGCCTAGAAGGAGAGTTGGCAATGAATGGCGTTGGGCTTCTTCACTCGATGAGCTGTATTCAGTGATTGGTCTATTAAGACACTTAGATATTTTTCTTATTTACAGATGCCAGTAAAGTGTTATGCATGGAGTTGGTGTGTTCTGAAATATCATGACCCCACTATTATACTCTACTGTGTTAAAAAAAACGCCATTCCCGTAGGATATCTTCATATCGTGCGCAAACTTGATCATGTTCTTCGATTTATTTTCATTACGATCGTTAATGTAGATCACAATCAGGGTGAGCCCAGGATATATATCTGTGGTACTCCACTGAAAACCTCTATCCGGTCTCAATGTACTTCATTTATGATCATCTTTGGTGCCTACCTTCGAACCAGCATTTAAACTAAACCAATATTTGTTGCTTCTGATGCCATGTGATCGGACCTGTAGAATTTTGTCGAACACATTAGGGCCATCCATGTACAGTACAGTACATTACAGTACAGTGCAGTGCAGTACAGTGCAGTGCAGTGCAGTGCAGTGCAGTGCAGTACAGTACAACCACTAGTAAACCTTGGTCCATGTAGTTTGATGTTTTAATTTCAAGGAATTTAAGGAAAACTTTCAAACAAGATTTTCTTTCCATGAAACGATGTTATGGTGCATATATGAGACTGTGCTGTCAAGCCTATAGCTACTACTATTACTTAAAGCCGAAGCATTCATATTATTCATCGGTAGTTCGCCTCTTGTCTCTACTGGAGGACTACAGTACTTCGTGCTCTCCATCTTCCAGTACCCTGACTGCTTAAACTCTTCTGATCTTTAACCAAATATTCTCGCACTGTGACGCTTCTTTATCCTCTCAGCTTGTCTCTATTTTTTGAAACTTGTTTTGCGACCGAATTGTCATGTCGGGGGAGATGAAGATGAAGGTGCTTCACCTTGCGTGTTTGGGTTTAGAGGAGGGGGTTCTTCTCTGGTTGTACTATTAGTTAAAAACACCTTAGTTATAGAGTCGCAGTAAAACATCATAACATCACTGAATTTTGATGATACTCAAACTATCATCCGGTTATGTAATAGTTGTACAGTAACTGGCTGATGATGAATGATGGGTGATAGCACAACACCACTCCTAAAGGATGACATCATTATACAGCGGCTGTGTCATTATACACGGCAGTTGAAGTATTAATCATAACTATGCAGAAATAACTGTTGTAGTAGAGTGACACAATGATACATATCAGCGATTGTGGCAGATAAGTATCGCTCAGTTATTGAATTTTCTTACAGTAATATTGCAGTTTGATCAAAATCCCATGTACAAATTCAGAGTTTTGAAAATATACGAAGTAAAGGCACTAATCCGCCCCCTATACTATAGACTAGTGTTATACAAGTAAAGTGAAAGATGCAATGCACCATTATAAAGCTCCGAACATATGTAAAGCTCGCTCGCTTTACTCGCACTATCCATCCAGGTGCGAACTCGTAGCAATTGTTTTAAATTAGACAAATTTAGATTTAGGCGCGAGATAGGTAAACATTGGTTTGGAAATAGAGTACTGGATAGCTTCAAACATAGGTTGGATGGGTAAATGAGCGATAGTGGTTGGGTGTTAACGGGCAGTATGGGCCAATAGGCCTGCTGCAGTTTTTTATGCTCTTTACTATCGATAACAGGCTACGGCAATACTAGGTACGGTAAAATCTTACTCTAATACGACATCATTCTGGCCAACTTCTGTATGCAAAAGTTTAACGATTAAATCACGCCCCATAGCGCCATATTTCGCATTTGTTGTGATATACTAAACTAAAATATCAAAAGCCACACAGCCAGGAGTAATGTTAATATGGATTCCATGCACGCACGCACTCACGCCATTCAACAACAGTACAATGCATCTATTCAGAAACTCCACCCACATGTCGAAGAGCTGGGAATGAATTATAATTCATTAGCCACTAGACTCCTTGCAAGCAAACATTGGTCTCGATAAACCAGATCCTGAACGACTGCCACTGTGTAGGTGGACCAATCGAACACCTTTAAGTTGGCCGGAAATATTTTTTCCACGATGATCCTGTTTTGCCCGCCATAAGTTTGATTAAAATAGATTAGGTTACATGTAGGTGGCTGATCCCTCAACACGGCCATCTACTGTAACCTTCAGCTCGCGGATACTGATACAATTCTTGATACAATTCTTATACAATAATTACAGTAGTATGTATCCATTTATAGAGACCCACCTGCATACAAAATGACATTTGAAATATAATACAGTTCTTATTTCCAAATCAATATTAAAATGAGCAAAAGAATGACATCTCGACAAAGAACATAAAGGAATTTCAATGTCGAGTCGGTGTGTCAGGGACGGTAGCGCTGAGAAAACACAGTGTTATCAATACAACTAGTACTGGTAGCTGCTAAAAAAAAAAAAATGGCGCCTGCCGACTGCGGTAAAGTACAAACAGTCAGCCAAAGATCCAGCGACCCTGTAAGGAGCTGACTTTTCCTAACTTCATGCTATCCTTCAGACTTATTCTAATTCATATATTTCTTCTCTTCTATTTTATTCTTTCTTAAATTCTTATTTACTTATTTTCTTGCACATATCTATCTTTTATATTAATCTTTTCTGGTGTATATATTTAATAATTTCATATGCAGTGTCTTTATTTCTACAGTCTAAGTATATATCTTATATTTCTCTGCTTATATTTTCTAAGTCACCAATTTGTAAGAGTCCTGTTTTCCTCTTTATACAATTTTATTCTAGTTATATTCTAAACCATAGATCAGTCTGGGAAACCATGTCATTATTATAACACTTAGTATACTTACCATGGTAGCCTGCCACCACCCAGACTTTTATTAGAATATAACATATCTCATGGAACTGTTAGGTAGCGTGTTTGCGATTTTCTAGCCACGTGAGTTACTAGTTATTTTCTGAGAACTAATGTGTAGAAGGAATAGAGTGGTGATACTTGTAGTTTACTTATCCAATATGGAGTGAATAAGATGTTAATTAATTACACTCAGACCAAACTGGACCACTTAGGTCATACTTTACACATAGCAACATAGATCATTTCTTGATTACAACATTATACTCTCATGATATTACTTCATTGTCAAGACAGATGATTACATAACACACTTGACAAAATCCAAAATTAAGATAGTATCAAACACATCCTGTTAGTTCGGAATGAACAACATTGCACTTTAACAAGCAGTCAGTGTTAGTACACCTGGTTGGTGGACTCAACAGTACCGCTGGTAACACCAACATTCATGGGTTCAATACTTAACCTGGGATAACTATATTT